AGATATGTGGTTGTGCTGCGCGAATTCCAAAACTGCCCCTGAGCAATGGCAAAATTCCAGAAATGCCACTCTCAGTTGTATTACGAAATTTTCCTGGTTCTTTAATTCGTTTTTTTTTTTCCTAGGTGTGTCCGTACTTGGAGCAGTGATCCAGAGAGAGGGAGTGATAGAAGGAAGAATCTCAAACAAATGCATATGACGAAAGGATAAAATCTGACTGCGCTCCCTTCCAATCACGGGATACACCAGCCGCAAGCTACGTGCTCCCTGCGACAGGGCAATAGTGGAGGGTGAGTGGAGAGCTCGTTTTACTACGTGATTATGCCATGACCACACTAACGGTCCTTGTTGTGTCGGACCGGCCTTATGTAGCGCACCTCAGCAGCAATCTAAGCAGAGGTTATATGGTATTGTGAAGGAAAAGCCATAGTGAAAGCAAGACAGTATCCCACAGATTCCCGCGTGACAGCAGSAGCAGTTTCTTATGCTGGTCTTATGCTGATGGTTCTTTCAGTGGTGGAACTATGTTGTGCGAACACAACAGCAAATATGCCAATAGGTAGTATGCTGCATGAGGGGCATTGATACAGATATGCTATTGAGTTCAGTGGCATAAGGGACGTGTCAGCGCGATGTTGGAAGATGCTATGACAGTACGACTGCAGCTGTTCGCTGCGTGAGCACGGCAGCAGCACAAAGTTTTGCAGGAACGGYACTTGTGAAGAGAAACTTCAACTGGATATCAACTTGCCTATGCTCAGGATGATCGGAGTAGACCAGTTTTGACAAGTGACACAAAAAGACTCGGATTTTGAAACTCAAGGAGCGCTTGCAGCTATCAGACCTCCGCAACCCACAGTGCAAAGTCACAAGCCTCGCAAGGATCCAACAAACTGATTACGGCCTTGGAGAGCAGGACTCCACCGCAAATCACAGTCTCAGGAATACAGACTCGGACGCAGCGACAGACTGTAACGCTCGGACTCAGTGGCATCGACCCTCCAGGAGGGGATATGAAACTCAGATTGTAAAAAAAAAAAAAAAAAAAAAAAAAAAGCCCAAAAAGGCCCCCTGTCCAAATTTTACAGGGGAATTTACAAAAAAAAAAAAAAAAAAAAAAAACGGGGGATAGCATCAACAACGACAATGTAAAAAAAAAAAAAAAAAACCAGCGTACGGAGAGTTGTACGGGTGCCTTGCATGAAC